GCCGGTTTGATTACTTGACATCTTACGCTTTGATTTAAGCCAAACTCCAGACGAATAAAGTGCAGCCTTTGCATGGAACGATTTCAAACTCTTGAAAGTGTCTGAGAGCAATGAGGGAGAGGAACGCCTGTTTAACCCATCATCATTATGGGTGAGACAGTGAGCGATGAGACGAGCTTTATGAAGCTACAACTGGCTGCCTGGTAGCTTTACAAGCTGGATAATTTTACTATTAGATATTTTAGTGTTTCTCTGTCAGGCTTAGATCAACTAAGCCTTCCTTCCTGTTTGTTCCTCTGCAGAATATCGACATCCAGAACTTCTCGTCCAGTTGGAGCGATGGAATGGCTTTTTGCGCCCTCGTCCACTCCTTCTTTCCCACCGCGTTCGACTACAACACTTTATCACCGGCCAATCGCAAACACAACTTTGAGCTAGCCTTTGGGACAGCAGAGTGAGTATGGAACTAAAATGCTCGTTTAACCAGACAGGAAATAGATGTATTCAAATACACAGTCAGTGTACTTGGTCCTGTTTTTCATCACTGTAGACAGAAAAAGATGGATGGGTTTGATAGGGACTGAGGTTTAGAAGCAGAGGATGAAGAATTTAATTAAGTTTGAGTAAAGATGAACAGATTTAACTTTAATCTTAACACTGATTCTTCAGAGATGAATAAATATTGTTAGAACACTGCCTTCACTTTGAAGCACAAGGAGTTTGTGGGGCATCAGTTTTGCAGTCACTGATTCATGTAGAAAATGCTGACATTTCAACTCTATAAATTTCCATTTAAGGACAAAATAAAAACTTACATACATACCTAGATGAAAGCAGGAGTATCCTTCTAAAGCCAGCTCCATCAGAACCTGATGGACCTGGCTTGATCAAGTGCAGATCAAGTGATCTGCAGTTGATCAAAGTGCAGTTTGATCTGCACTTTGGAACAATTTGTGTTTCTTAGAGTTATTGTCTCCACATGATTAAGTATAAAACAAGCCTTAAAGCGGACCTTTTTATGCAAAATTCACTTCTTCCCACGTTTTTATACTTCCATTTACGTCTCTATTGTTTCTGAAAACAGTCCAAGCACAGCCAGTAGAGGCAGACTCTGTGTAATGAAGTGATTTAAACCCAGACATTTTTTCCCCCCTCAAACTGTTGTTTTTCACCATGAATGACTGCAGCTGTTTAAAAACTGTTGGAAGGACGGTTAGCTTGGACACAGGCCTAACATTTTAAGGCAGGTTTTTGCAGCAAAGGTTGTGCAGCAGCATGTTTAAAGTGCTGCTAGAAGTTAAACAGCTGTTGATAACTGAGAACGCCGAGAACTGAGAAAAACGTGTTTGACAACCCTTCCCAGATTAATAGGGCGCAAAAACTACTTATTAAATATTGAAACAGGTAAAGCTGCTTATGACATTCTGTATTAGATGCAGAGTTGTAACTTTACTCCCAATAATAAACCCCTGCAGGATATTTAGTTTGGAGCAGCAATTATTGTCATGTCATGCAATCAGTCTTAAAAAAATCATTCAATGAACAAAGACGTCTCCATTTTGCTATAAAATTATAAAATGCTATCAAATCTAAACATCAGAGTCGACCAATTTAAGTTTTATTTATTTATTTTACATCTTAATGATGGCCTAAAAGTGTCTTCTTTATGTTTGATATTATTTTTTGTTTGCTTATATCTGGCAAAAGGTGTGCATTCCTTCTGTCTGACTCCATGACATCTTAAGTCCCTGCTCATCGTGGCAGCACACAAACATGCTGCAAGCTGTAGATCTGACATCACACAGCCTGCAGCAAAATCATACATATAGATCAGCGTTTACAGGCACCAGCCAGTATTGGGAATTATTCATTCTTTGGCTGCTGCTGAATTCATAAAACATTTCCCTGTTCTGTCATGTTGTAGCCTCAAACTTTAATGTGCTTTATTGAGATTATATGTGGTAGACCAATATAAATTAGCTGTGAAGTGAATTTGAAAAGCACGGCCAGCATCTGGACCAGGGTTTGCAACTTTTACAACCTCAAAAGCCATTTTTACTCCCAGACCAGCCAAATAAAACTTGTTTCAAGTCGCAAATGTCACACATTTTGAAAAAAAGAAAAAAGACAATTTAGAATTTTAGATAAATCTCTACTCTCTGAGATTTGTCGTAATTTTTTTTAAGAACCACCATTTCATTTCTATTTTTATGATTTAAAATAAACACAATTTGGCAAAACAGAATGTTTTTTTTTTTTGTGGAATGGAAAATCTTTTAAAAAAATATATAAAAAGCACAGTGTCAAGGAAAACTGACAGTCTGAACAGACGCGTATGTATATGCCAAAAACAAATCTGATTTGGCAAGAAATTGGAATTGGGTCACTTCAGGCTGCGGTGTGAACGTAGCCTTAATGACAAGAAAATTAGATATAAGCACATTACTAGTACTTTTAGAGTCTTTCTTTGTCAAAATTTAATGCAGATGTTACAAGAATAGAATAAAAAAACTCTCAGAACCTGTGTTTGTTATTATATCCAATTATATCTAAGTGTTAGCTGGCTCTTTTTAATTTTTAGAAAAAGTTATCAAGTTATCAAGAGCCATTGTGGAGGATCCAAAGAATCGCTTGTGGCTTTGAAGCTGCATGTTGCAGATCCCTGGTCCAGACCAAAGAGCACAGCAGGGTTATGTTAGAAACAGAATAACAAGTTTTGAACATTTCTTGAACTCTGAGTTCAATACGTCATCTAAAACACCTGGCAATTCAGGGACATGATAATTCAGATGTCAGGAGAGCATAAATTAATCAGAGATTCTGAGATCCACAGCTCAGCTGGGAGAATCTGTCAACAGGACACATATTACTTATTTCTTCTACAAAACATTCCTCTGTGGAGGAGAAAAATGAAAAGAAAAAGGAGGAGAAGAAAACAAAGCCATTATTGAAAGGAAAGCCATAATGAGTCCTGTTTCAGGTTTACCACAAACCACAACAAACACGAGAAAGAAGGTGTTCTGGTTGGAAGAGACCAAAATGTATGCTCCTCATGCAAAACCATGTGTGCTAGAGAGATTACAAGCCACCTCATCATGAACTCATTACTCCTATGATGGGAAGATGGATTCAGCTAAATACAGAAAAAACCTGAAAGAGGTTGAAAAGTTGTGAGAGTGGGCCGGAGGTTTACCTTCCAACAGGAAAACGACCAAAACATACAGCAGGAACTTCTGGTTTGGATCATATTCAGGTGTTCATACGACCCAGTTCAAGTCCAGATTCAGAATCCAATTCAGTCCTGAAAAACAGGCCATATTTATCCAGCCAGAGCTGTTTTAAAAATAACGAAAATAATCAATAATAGTACATTCTGGTCTCCGGATGTGCAAAATGAATAGAAATATCCACCCTTCAAAGCAATGCTCTTGGTTGCATTTTAATTTCCTGTCTATTCCTGTGTTATGACTCGTCTTCATCTGTCCCTGTCCTCAGAACCAAGGCGGGCTGTGACAGGCTGATCGAGGTGGAGGACATGATGATCATGGGTCGCAAGCCAGATCCCATGTGTGTCTTCACTTACGTCCAGTCACTCTACAACCACCTGCGCAAGTTCGAGTGAAACTTGGGATTTTTCAACCACTTGGCTGGATATCAGCTATGAAATACAGAGTTCAGTAGTTCCCAAAGCCATATTGGAAAGGCTGGATCGCCCCCTAGTGGTGAACTGATGTACTGTTCGCTCTTCGCCACAAAGGAAGCTGCTGCTGTCTGTAAAAGCTGGACTCTTGGTTCACATTTGAGAGATTTATTGTTACTGGATATAATCAGCAACAACAAAGATGAACCTGCACACAGATTTCAGTGCTGATTTTTAATTGCTGGGGTTTTTTTTTATTGACTTAGTGTATTTGTATGTGTGTGTATGTGTGTGTGTGTTTGCATGCCTGTAGATGTTGAAAGTCGTTTTTTGTTTTGTTTTTCAGCAGCAGAAATATGCTTTGTCTTATAAAATGACTAAAATCACCAGGTGTCTGCAATGCTCAGACATGCTGCTTTAATGTCTGACCCAATGTTAGCCAAGAATACATGTGATGAGCTGCTGAGTGATATTTCCATTCTGATATGCTGTGGGTTGTTGTGTTGTTAGGATGCTGAAAAAAAAGAACTCTAATAAAAGTAATTCAACAAGAAAATAAAAGTTGTGAGAGTGGCAATATCCAGCACCATGCTGAAAGGTTTACAGTCATCTCTTTGATTCCAGGCAGACTTTTAATGACAAAATTGTTTCCATACAAAAATATGGAAACAATTTTTAAAAATATGGAAATGTTACATCTCTGAGCGGGTTTGAAGAAAAGATTGAATGCAGTAAAGATGAAAAATATAAAGTTGTAAAAATTGTATCACACTGGAATCTAAAGATAAAAACTGCATAGTCAATTTAAATGTGCCTCAATCAAGTTCAAAGATCTTAAGAATGTAAAGATACTTGACATATACTCTGAAATGAGGTATACATAAATGATGGCATGATGTCATGTTGATCCCAAAGATTATCAGGAGTCTTAATCTGGGAGTTGTTTGTGGGGAAATGGGGGTGTTCAGAGTTTACTAGATTAAAAAACCCCATGACCTACTTGGAGAAAAATATTCAACATTTGGTAAAAATAAAGATTTTTATTTTTAGCATCAAACTGAATTTTTTGGTCAACAAAAAGGGAATAATATTGAGTTTAAAAACATCCATTCTTTTAATTGATTTTCCTGATGTTAGTTTGTTGAACAAAGCTGAAGAGCTGCGTAAATGTAATGTAAACAGCTGAAGACATCTTGATGTGACATGAAAACCTGCCTGTCAGTAAGTGAGGATTATCGAGGTCCGTGGAACACCTTCATCTGAAGAGTCCCGTATAATCTGGAGCAGGATATAACAAGCTCCCGACTCCTCCTCATCGTCAGCCTCTGCGGATGCAGCGCAGCAGAAGTTTGCATCTCTGAGCGGGTGAAGAAGCGATGGCCGTGTTTTTGGACGCTGAGTTCCCTCTGATCAAGCAGAACCAGCAGAAGGTAGATCTGAAGATGCTGTTTGGAGAACAGGAGGCCTGCAAAGGTGAGAGGAGATGATGCTTGTAGTCTGCTGACCACAGTTAGATTCCTGCAACAAAACCGTCAACGTTGATCATCTGCAGTTGCAGACATTTTTAAATAAAAATAAAAAAATGAAATATTGTTACTACTACTATTAACAATAATAATAATGGTTAGATGTGGCTCAGTGAGAAGAAGTAGGTGCTTATATGGTTGTAACTAATAAATATTTTCATAATTGAGTATTCTGACAATTAAATGGATAAACAAATAGGTAATTCTGGAGAGTTTTGGTTTCACCACTAAAGCTTACTTTGTGAAATGCTGTCATTAGAATCATCAGGAATAATTATTATCAAAAATATAATCAATGTTTCAGTTGTTTTTAATCAAAGGCAACACAAACGTGGTTTTTAATCTTGATTTAAAGGAACTCAACATTTTGGCTGTTTTGCAGGTTTCTGGAAGTTTGTTTTATAAAAAGGCTGAATCTGCAGATAAACAAACCTTCTAATGTCACCATGTGAAAAGCTCAGTTGTTTCTGCTTGATTTAACATCAATATATGGTAGGGAATTATTATTTTTAGACAGATCTGAGTGAACATATTTACGAAGAAAGAAGCTTTTGTAAAATGTGTGTATAGTTTGAACAATTTTAACTCAATAACTGCTCTGAATTTAATGAGTTTTTTTTTATTCAGTCAATAGCCTTTTTTGTGCCTGTATATTCCAGTAAATAATTAATTGACTACTTTTTCATTCATCAGGTTAATTACTCAAGTTAGCTCAGGTTAATTACTATTTAACCTGATTAATTGTCCTAGGTGCTTCCAGGCACTTAGCCACAAGTTTTCTGATGATGTGTCAGTGTATGAATCTGTGCAACATAGAGTTGGTGTGAATAGAAAAGCACCAAATAAATTTAGCCCATTTATGATTATTTTTTATTATTAAAAACTTTTACAGTTCTTTTATTATTAAAAAACTGTAAAATTTTTAATTTTACAGTTAAAAAATTGTAATAAATACATTTTTAAATGTCATAAATTCTCTTTGTACAGACTTTGAGTTATGTCTTCTATAGAAATCTTTCCTACACTAAAACAGTTCTCCATTCTTTCCCTTTTTTTCTAACATATATTTTTAATATTGTAGTGCATTTATTTTTATCAGTTTTCTGTGTAATTTGTTGCCCTAAGATGGTCGGAGTGAGAGCACTGCGTCCTCTCAGGAGCCAGACAGATGCCCGGCTTTGACGGAGGGCCAAAGGAAAAGGAAGAGGACCATATTTAGTCGCGCCCAGCTGTCTGAGCTGGAGCAGGCCTTCGCTGTGACTCCGTACCCGGACATCACCCTCAGGGAGAGGCTGGCTGCACACACACACCTGCCAGAAAGCAAGATACAGGTAGGATTCAGTCTCCAACTTTAACAAATTGTAGCCTTTAGTGAGGAGCTAAAACGGTCATTACAGGCTAAAAAGTCTATTTGAGCTGTAGGTTATGTTATGGATTTATTTACATTTATCTCACTTAATTCTTTTAGTTTTGTGAGGACACATTTATATTCAACTGTAGAAAAGCTCATAAAGTCCAATTTAAAGTTAACCCAGTTCCTTTTGAAATGCCTGTTAGATCCAAACATTGACAGACAGAGACCATGATCAGCCTCATTTTCTCTCTACCAGGTCTGGTTTCAAAACAGAAGAGCCAGAAGTATCAAAACAGGCAGACTCAGCAGACCCACCAAGTCTGACTGGGGAGGTCGGGGTTTCCTGGAGTCCTCTGCTGGACATGGGGCCTCCACTTGCCCAGCCACAACCAGCCTGGCAGATATATTCAGGCAGGATCAGAGCCACTCCTGTGAGGAGGTGCCTCCGCTTTACTCAGACTGGATCCAGATTTATAGCAACCAGGCATCGTCCACGCCTCCTTCATGTCCGTCTCTTCCTCAGCATCCCCAGCCGAAGCTGCTCCAGAGCTGCTCCAAAATGCAAGACAGTCACCGCTGGGATGAAGAGCAGCAACTGGGCTCGAGATTCAGCAGTTTCATTACTGGCTCATTTCCGCAGCCAATCAGCAGGCAGAGTCATCACCATCCCTCCACATGCTCGTACCAGGCGTTTACGAACTTCAAAACTCAGAGCCTGGCTCCACCTCTGACCCATCAGCACATGTATGGAGGCAACACAGGAGCTGGAGGACACAGCTCAGTAGACCAGGTTGTCCCTTCACACCCTCAACCAATGTACTGGGAGGTCACACAAGGTCAAGGGCACCGCCATCAACATCATCATCATCCACAAATAGGACCTCAGACTTCCATGGGCTACATCTCAGATCTCATCTACAATGCCGCCATTGTGACCAATTTTCTTGAGTTTTGATGACCAATGAACATATTTGGACCCATTCCTGTCCAATTTAGTAATTGATTAATCATTAACTGGAGTATACAGAATTAAAAAGGGAAATTTTGCTGAAAGAGCAACACAGATATTAAGCCAAAACTGTACAAAAAATATACACATTTTGCAAAAAAAAAAACTCCCACCTTTGTATATGAATACCCTAAACTCATCGAGTGGCACAGCTTCACTGGGTTCAAATTCTGTATAAAAAAATCCATCTGGTATCTAATTATTAGATCAGCTCTACACTGTAAGGATTTTAAGTAAAGCAGAAATATTTTTCAGGTGCGGATGCATCCTTTGCTACAAACGATCAAGTATGCAATAAATGAAAATACACTTGTTTTATTATATTTTAGGCAATAAAATGTTTATTTTTTTATTTAAACAATTGATGGATTCATGTTTATTCTATCTTTTCATGTAGTATTTCTAAAATTGCTTTTAAAAGACTGAAGTGGTTAAATATTTTTAATCTGATTAATCGACAGAACAATCTATTACTATAGAAATAGTAATAGATTATTAATATAATCTAAAACCGCCAAGCTTGTTTTTGTTTCTGTCCTTCTTGCCTGCTGATTTTATACCAGACTGTTAAATAGTGCTGCTGTTGTTGTCTGTCAGGTTGTCATGCTGTTTTGTAATCAATATAAAAAATGAAGGCAATGTCCCTCGCCTCCATCGTAATAATGTTTGTCTGAAGTATTTTTAGTTTTACACATGTAGTAATTTATTAAACCAGGTTTGAACTTCTTTGACTCCAGAATTCCTGCGTATAGCATGGATGAAGCATTAAATGTTCAGATAAATGAGCTACATTTCGCATCAGACCAAGTCAACCACAGTACAGAGATTGGTTATTTTGTTTGTGACAAAGTAAACCCTAGCTTTATTAAGTCGGGTTTGAGTTAGTTCGCTACCTGGCTAACTAACAGGCTAACAACTTGACTATTTTTGGTTAACTGTTTGGTTATTATTTGACGAATAAGCCAGCTAGCTAACCTGCTAATTAGCTAACTAGCTAGCCCGCTAGTTAGCTAACTAGCTAACTGACTAGCCAGTGTTATTTTACTTTTGGAAAGCTGAGTTTAGCTTTTGTAGAGTCAGTGAATAATTTCATGTGAAATATGTCTGTTAACATAAAGTATAAGATGTCAAAAGCAACACACCTCATGTTAAAATCTGACAAATATTAGTCTTACAGCACACCAGTGTTTTTGTTTCTATCCAACTAAAAAACGTTGGATAGAATTTTCTAACCTTTGCATTAAATTAGATTGGATCAGAAGAGATTTATTTCAAACATGTCAGAAAACATAAAACATCTTTAATCCTTTTTGTCAAAACTTAATTAATTTTGTGCCAACAGCTCAAGATGAAGAGAAAAATAAATATGTACAATTTACACATTGTTTATAGCTCAGTAACACTTATATTATTTGAATAACATTATTCTGCTTGAATGTCCTGTTGGTGTAGCTGATGAATCTGTAACTGCTTAACCTGTTTTAAGCTCAGTATATAATAGTACACAGTAAAATGTATAATGGCTTAAAATAATGTAGCTAATGAAAACATGAAGATTTTAAAATTATTTTCAGCTGGAAAAAAAAGCCTTAAACCAAAACTAATTTACATAATAACTCAAGACTGTTTTTTTATATATATACTTCTGAACATCAATAAAATGCCAGATTAATTAAATGGGAAATTTAACTTTATGAAAAAAAAAAAAAATTCTCATCAATCATCCACAATAAACAGGAACTTAAAAAAAGTTTAGGTAACATTAAACTAATCCAAAAACAAAAACATACCCTCATCTTGGGATTTTTAAAAATACATCTTTGCTGTCTTTAAATGTGGAGGTGGTCTGATTAAAAGCGACAAGCAGAAAACAAACATAAATCTGTTTATTCTAAATATTTATTTGTAAATTTAGAACATATAAAACCATTTGATCCACCTTCAAGTGAACCTTAAGTGAAGTTTTGTCCTCCCAGATGTAGGCTTGTGTTTTCCTGCGTGACATGTTTAACTGCTGTGACCCATGAGTATTATCCTTCCAAAGTAATACCGATTAAAATGATTACTTGGGGTAAGATACGATGACAGGAATAATTATTTTCCTATATCAAAATATTTTCCATAACTCTCTGTATTCTAAGAATCAGGTGGTTTAGATGAACAAGAGGAAATGAAAAAAAAAAGAGAAAAATAAGAACTAAATTAAAGCCAGAGCTCAAGGTCTATCAGCTTACAGGCCGAGTAATTTGGCATGGATTTAAGTTTTGAAATATTACATGAGAGGGGTATAATACTGAGGCAAACATGACAGACAGGAGAGCTGGACACAGACCGCTCTATATCATAATCATCTTTAATACCAAATAATCTTTCAATAAACCTTTAATCCGGGTGTCAAATCTCAGATCTTAGGAGGATACTTCATTGTATTCCAGATGTGGTTACATCTTTTAATCCATCCACTGATACATCGCAACTTGACAAGAGTGGTGTGGTTTACAAAAACATGAATTCCTATCTGGAGAAGAGATCAGATCAGATTTTAAATTAGATGTGTATTGTTGATCATTGAGGTATGAAAATCTTATATTACAGCTAATTAATGATTTGTTTTTGTTGCTTTTTCATCTAGGTTGATTCCCAAACAATCTGAATAAAAGAAAATACAATACTTTACATCTATTTTCAACTTTTTTTTTCAGTTGGAAAAAAAATCACATCTTGTTTCATTGAGTCTTAATAAAAAAAATGTATTAGATATGATTGCATTTGAAAACAACTGAACGAAAACAACATCAACAGAATAGAAAAACAAAAAGTTTGGAATAACAAACAAGTGAAGAATGTAAAATCAGAAACATGTTTGACTGGAGAAAATTCAACAAATAGATTTTAAATAAATAAAATTAATAAAAGACAAAAATTCAAACATCTGTATGTTTTTTTTTTTTTTTTTTGTTTCTACAATCGCTATGGTTCCCCTAGTTCTCCCTCCATGGTCCGGACCAGGACATAAAGCTCAGCCAGTCCAACTACAGAAGCAGCAATCACAGCTGATATCACCCTCTGAAAAAAAAAACACAAAAAATAGTTAACAGAAACCTGTGAGGGACAAATTTAACTCAATAAAAAAAAAAATAGAACAGTCTCTGGTATATACAGCTGAATTGATTTGTTAAACAGAGGAAATTATTAGTATAAAGGTTGGGCCTGATTGAGCTATTCACATGTAAATATTTCACAATTTGTCAAACCGCATCTACAAACTTCAATTTATTTCAATTTAATGTGACAGACTATACAAAAAATTAATAACTTTGAATTTGAAGGAAAATAATAAACAATTTTTGCCAGGTTCATCAGTAAAAAAAATGTTTGAACTAAAAAATATGCAAAATCAACATATTAGCATCATACTGTATTAACATTCAGTCAAGCAAAAGGTTTACTTTTTCACATGTTGATGTAAGAATTATTTTAAAGCTCCATATGCATCATTTGAAAGAAATGATAAAGCTTACACTAAATGAATTCATTTAGCTTACACTAAATGAAAAACAGAATTCTAAATGAATTCTGTTTTTGCATTTTAAGCAATATTTTTTTTTAATTAAAAAAGAAATTGAAACCTAGAGAAACTACTTCTAGTTTACAAATCTAGAACATAGAAAGTTTGTTCTAGAACTGTATGTTTGATATACTTTAACATTCTAACATAGAGAACCAAACTATATTTTTATCAGAACAAGAATCCAGAGAAACACCCACTAATTTGTAAATTATGTACTACTTATTCTTATTAAACATGGGGAACCAATATGTAGTTTCATACTTTTACCTTTTTGTCTCTTTTGGTTTGTTGTTTCACTTGTTTTTTTCTTCTAACCCATGTAAAGCACTTTGAACTGCCTTTTTGCTAAAAATGTGCTAAATAAATAAAACTACCTTACCTTGAATTATTTATTTATGTGCATAGCGCAATGTATTTCTATTATTGTATAAAAACTGATTGAATAAAAATCTGAAGAATTGGTCAATGTTTTATCCAATTAATTCATCATCTAAATAATTTATATAATTAGGGAATGAATAAACATGCACACCACAATTTCCAGAATATTGTCTTTTTGTTAAGATTTTTTTTAAATCTACACTGTTATTAAAAAACAAGGCAATAGCTAGAATAGTCTAGAATTCATGCAAGACTGAATGTTCCCTTACCGCTGCGGTTTCAGTAAATAAATACTGGCTTCCCATGTAGGAGCAAGCAAAAGCAGCAACTAAAGTCACCAGGAAGTTGAAAACAGTCACCACCACTGCTTTCACCGAGCGCACTGAGGAGAAAAGGGAATAAAAGCAGTTCACGTCACACAGTTTAAAGCTTGTTACCAACATGAAAAAAGAAAGAAGTTGTCACACACTGACCTTGGTGACCAAAATCTGCAAGTGTCCCATTTCGGTTAATTTCCTAACAATAAAAACAGAAATATTACTGATGAGAACATGGACGCAGGTTTAGTTCAGCATTATGTTTTCTCATTCATACAGTTTTAACATTCACCTGAGTGTTGACATTACGCGTCATCCTGTTGTATTCCTCATTAGCCAGTTTTGCTTTGATCTTCTCAAGACGTGCCACTAACTCAGGATTCTGAAAGAAGAACCAAAAGTCAAACTTTAATTTCATTAAGCCAATAATGAGACTAGTTTTTAATTAAAATCTCTCTGCTTTAATTTAAATCTTGCTGGATTTTATTGCTACATTTGATACAGTTGATTATAATGCACTGAAAAGTAGTTAGGATTTATTGATGCTGTGGTGAAACAGTTTAATTTTATTTGCCAAGCTGAAGATATTTTGTGGAAAACTGTAAATATGAGCAAACAAAGATCAAACATGGAGCTCCTCAGGACTTTATTCTTGGTGACTGAAACCAATGTTGTGGTTTACAATAGTCACCCCAATATTAGTGACTTACAAAATAATAATAAAAAAGATACAGAATTGGCAAGTTAGGCTTGAAGAACCTCCTGCAGCTATGCCACAATTAGTCATTTTACTTATTTTATTGGTTCTTAGAAATGAAATGTATGCAATACAAAAGCCTATGTTTTAATGTCACTTATTTCAATGTAATTATTTTTTCTGTACCTTTAATCATCTTGTTAGACCCATTGAGACGTGCATGGTCTTACTTTTGAAAGGCAGGTGTTAAAATGGTATTGGTTTAAGATGTGGAATATGAGCTGCATGTTAGCCACTGCTACATCTGTCATCAATGTGAGGTCTTGAACCCATAACATACAAAAAATACTGAATAATATTCCAACAAATGTTAATTATGTAGTGTTGGGAAGGTGTAGTTATTGTTATGTAGAGTAATGCTCTTACTCTGGGAGGTTTCACGACTTCAGGCAGGTGCAGTGAGCCATCTTCCAGTAATTGATGAAGATAGAAAGGATGGCCTTAAAAAATACCACAAAGAGTTACTTCATGTCCACTAAAAGACGTAATATTATTACTGAGCACCACAGTCGTGCTTTCGTTCACCTTTATCCTGAAGGTGTTTCTTCAGTTTCCTTGCTGTGCTGAAAGGCAGGACTGTTGGCTGTGGTTTTTTCAGGATCTCCATCAGTTCTTGTTTAAGTCCTTCAGGCAGGGATGAGTCCGGGGTTCCCAGCAACTTTGTCACCCGACTTCTAAATTTGTCTCCAACAACAAATGAAGATGCCATAATAATTCTAGTAAAGACTAAGAAGACTGCCGCTAAACGACACAGCTGTGTAAATCCCCAGTCCTGTTCTGAATTACGCCCAAAGTGACTCGGAACGCGCAGTTTGTATTGATAATTGAGGTCATTCAATATAGGCTTTTAACGAATACTAGGAGCTCGATGTTATAAAAATATACGCGGCCATGTTTGTCTTGTGACATATGTTGCGTTCTCGTTACCTCGGAGGTCTGAACTTCAACCTGGGCTTGACGTCAGTCAAAGCGGAATTTCAACATAGCGATGCCCATAGACATTTGCAGTACCTCTTCTTACAAGTCCAGTTTATAGTTGTGGATGCCACATGTAACATTGATTTTAGACGCACTCTTACATTCGGGCTTTGTAAAGTAATCATGTTTCCAAAACGTCTTACGACTACTGATGCGAGAAGCGACCATATTAAAACGTGAAGTCCGTAACTGGGGGTAGCAGGAGGTACTCTCAATTTATCCGAGGGAAATATAACTTCTGAAGGCGTTCCAGATTATTTCTCCCGCTTGGAAGTCGGAATTTCGAAATTCTGAGTACAACTGGAACGCAGCAACACTCAGACCCAGGTGACAAGTTTTTTTTATTTCTATTTTTTTAAAAAAAAAATTAAATATCGAACCTTATTGGGTTTTGGAAATCTTTTTTTTTTTTTTTTGCTATGTGTTGGCAACAATATCAGAAATACTTTTTTATCACCACGAATTTAGTTCGTTCCGTTACACGTTAACATTGTTGGTGCATTCGTGTTTTGCTCGTTTGCCCGATACTCCTGTCTGACAAGTTTCTGCATAGTTGTGTAAATTCATACAAGCCAGCCAGTTTTTCTTCAGTGTATCAACATGAACCATTTATAACTTCATCAATCATCAAAACAATAATACAAAATATGTGGAATGCAGAGTTTAACGGCCAGAATCTCGTTACTGCCACTATCAACATTCCGTGAAGGCAGCATCCCGGTTTGTGTGCTCGTACGATCGCTCAGGCTGAAAGGAAAGATGGCCGCCTGTGCACTACGTAGAGGGTTGCTTAGCGGTGTCAGCAAATACAGCAGAAAACACTCCCATAGAATACTGAGTGTCACCGACATTAACAGCAGCTTTGAGGTGTATAAGCCACGGTTACAATGCCGAGCCTGCGGGCTGCTTGGCGGTGTTCAACAAAAGAGGTTCATGTCGTCACGGTAAGAGACACAGCGTCCTTCTGTCAAAGCTAACACACACGAGAGGCTAGGTAACTAGGTCCGTCAAGCTTACTTATTTAGCCCCGGAAAAGCAAAGCTTTGGTGATTCTCGCAGAGCAGACTTCTGGATATTATGTACGCTGGAGGTACTATAAGGGATGATATTCTGTGTTAGAAAACGAGAAATCTGCTCATCTTCCAGTTCATGCTAGCTAGCCTAGCAGCCAGCATGGGTTGAGCAACAACTGCCTGATCCGAGCGCCTCCAGTCTGCTGAGTAAAATCATTGAATGCTGGATAACATGAACAACTCTCCATCGATATTTTATGAACTCATCTTCTATAGAAAAGTTGTGAGTTGAATGCAGTCTAAAAATATTTTTTAAAAGCTGCAGATACACTCTGTTAAACGTAATTGTTAAGTGGAGTCCGGATTGCAAATCCACTGCTGTTTTCCTATCAGAAAACAACAAAACACGTTTAATATGATTATAATAAGTCACTATTACAGTTGTGTCACTATTACAGTTGTGCAAACTTTCAGTCTGCTTTCCAAAGTGTTATTGTTGCATATTTACTTTCAAAACGTTTAAGTCAGTTAGTTGCTTCTCTGTTTAACTTTGGCAAACACACCGTTTCCACATTGAGACAATGTCGTCAGTGGGCACTTGATTAGCTTAGCCTCTAAGAAGCTTTTCTAGAGCCTTAATAATATCCTGAATCTATTTAGTAAAGGCCAGTTAATTGTAAAGGGGTGAAAACTGTTTTAGACATGTAAACAATGCCTTTTGTATTTTGATTATGCTTGTTTTTGTGTGTTTGTTTTTAAATACGTTAGCAATTATGTATTTTAAAAAGAAACAAAGTAGCAACCATAATTGCTACCTTGTTGAGATTAATTTAAATCTCTGCTTCCCTTGCAACGTATTTTCTAGTAAATTCTGACTAGCCAATGTTTCCATTATGATTTCACAAATACCAGTGAAGTGTCTTTTAATGTTTGTTAGGATTTTCCCTTGTTGAGGCTTGTGCTTTCTGGCAAATCCAGGCAAAACTGAGAATGTTAAGAGTGATTGGAAAGATAAACAACTGACTTAAATACCTCTGAAATATCAAATATAGTCAGTCGCCAGCACTGACTATATTTGTTAATAATACAACTCAAGTTGTCTAACATTAAATGCTTGTTAGGATATGCAGACGTTTTCTTCACTACGCCAGTACAAGAAAACTAAAGATTGCACCTTATAAAACACCTAATGGCTCTCTGGAAACATTTGTGTTCATACACAACATTATATGTGTGCAAAACCTGTTAAAAATTAATGAATGTACTGCGGAGTACTGTAGTACCTTTGCAGATTATTCTGTTTTTATCAAATGCAAAAGGCATCAGTTTGTCGTGGAACATTAAAAGTATTTTTCTATAATCTACTAATTGTGAACGATAAGGAAACCATATCTATGCTGAGATTGTCGCTCTGTTGTTTTGTTTTAATCAGGACTATAATCCATCATCTGTCACAAATTGAGAGATAAAAGCCAATTTAATCGGAACAGGGTGTGATTTAATATCATGTTTTGAAAACAAAGTTGGGGATGCAAAAAAGTGAATGGATTAACTGCTGAATTGACCATCATCAGACAATCAGCTCCAGAAACAATAAAACAAACATTACACTACAGAGGACATCCTGTCATCCTCTGATAATCCTCACAACACATCAGATATCCTCTTTGTGACAGCTGTAAAAGCTTTCAAAGTAACATTAGCGCTGATTTGCAGAAAAGATGCAGCAAACTATTGCCTCTCTGAGTTGTGTAATTAAACCACATATATTTAACACGGACTTTCTTTGTTATGAAACATGTTGAAGTCTGGTTGCTTGTGCAAAAGTTCTCAAGATCAGATTTCAGTTTGAGGTTTCCCTACAAAAAGGAATATTTTGCATTGAAGAAATTTTAGTAAGAGGGGTAAAGGAAATGTTGAGCTGTTGAAATGGAGATTAATGTTCTTGACCCTGTTCATATTATTTTAAAACAAAATTGCCTTTAAAAGTCAGAATAATGTTGCTTACTTATGTAAAAACTGCTCCACAGTGGGAACTGCTGTTATCAGCTATAGTCAGTGTTTTAACTTGAACTTTTATCTTGTTTGTATTGTGTTGACCAGAGAACACATGAAGCTATCCTAACAAACTGGGACGCAGCACATTTTTGTGTCTTTTGCCCCTCTTAATCCGGTCATGTGATCTAGGCTTACTAGCTATTAATAGAAACGTTGCACACTCATTTTGACTTTGACCGTTTTGCTTCCTGAACATGTTTTGATGGGGTTGGCGCTGCTTTTGGGAGCTCAGAGCTGCAGTTGTGACTTGCTAGTTTCAGGAAGTTGGTGTTTTTTCAGAAAAGTCAGAGTCGACGTAGCCAGAAACGATTCTCGGAATCGGACGAAGAGGGATCCTGTTAACTTTAAACATCACCAGTAGATGTGGGTGGGCTTGAGCTCCCGCTGATTCTGCAATCAAATCAAAAAATCAAATCAAATTTTATTTGTATAGCACATTTCAGCAGCAAGGCATTTCAAAGTGCTTTACATCATAAACACAAAAACACAAAGTCATGCAATAGCAACAATTCTCCAGTTTTTAGTTACCGTTTACTGCTGTCATATTTTTGTTAGCTTACAAGGTGGGGTTAGTGTTGTGGCATTTGTTATTTAAAAGATGGGATGTGTTTCAGTGCATCAGTTCATTCCAGCACATTTTGCATCAGTTATTGGATCCGTTAATTGTTGTTAAATTTTAAACTGTCTTATAAGAAAACGTCTTTTCTTGTTTCAAAGTACAAAGATTTGCTGGATTTCATTGGTTATTGTTGACATGCAATAAATAGCAGTTGTTTACTTTTGCACGTCACTAAAAGGTTTAGCAGCTGACCTTTAGCCTAGAGAAACTTAAATATAGCAAAAGGATGTTTGCGGCTCCCAGGGCTAAGACCGGATTCAACAAATGCATAGAAACACACATTTTATTACATTACAACAAACTTTATTATATGTGGACAAAGTTTTCAAAACTTCTATTATCAACATGTGAAAAGTTCAGCCCTTTCTGCTGATCTTAAAATCAATACAGTGTTGATTATTTTTGGATTAACAGATACAAAATTGGATAGCAAATATGCTTAGAAGATTTTTTACAGGATTTGAAACTAAAACTGCCATTTTAGGAGTTCTAGTTTGAACATATTTACAGACAAAAAATCCTTTTTTTAAAAATTTGAAATGCTAAATTAATTTTCTACAGCTTTGGTTAAATTTCTGTATAAATACCGTATGTTGTTCTTTCAGCAAATGTCATTTTTTAGTCTGTATACTCCTGTTAACAATTAACTGGTTACTAGATTAATTACTTTAATAATTCATAAAAATGTATTCTATTAATTGTTTCAGTGCTTCCACCTACCCAGGTCGTTTTATACTTCCTTTTTTTGTTCTAGTCCTCTTCAAATAGTAATACATCTTAACATGTTTTCCAGCAGTATTTCATGTTTATGCTTTCATTTAAGATTAAAATCCTTGGTTTGGAGCTTGGCTCGTTTTTATAACCATATTTCTCACAGCAAAATCCAGTTACCTTGTGGTGATTGTTTTTGCAATAGTCAAAAGCCAAAACCTGAAACCAACTCACTGTGTGATATTAAATCCTCTCGTCCATATATCCCCATCATTAATCCGCCCCTTCATCTGTGCTGTGAAGATTAGCTTTCACAAGTGTGAGTGTTATTCACTCAAAGTGACCAGCTGTTACCGTCATCATCGCTGGTCCAGTCTTGTGTTTTGAAGACAAACACTCTGGTGTTGGGCTGGAGTTGGGATTGGGCCTTTTTCTTTACGAATCAGTGGTTGTTTTTACCACACCTTGTGTTTTGTGGTTAATACCAACTGACTCCTAGCTGCGTGTTTGTGTGTATTTGTGTGTTTAACTGTGTTGCCTGCATTTTGGCAGGAACAGGCCTGAAGGAAAGATTTTGGAGCCTGTTGGTGTGTTTGAAGCAGTGAAGCAGCATGGGAAATATGAAACAGGACAGGTAAGGCTTTCTGATGATCCTCCAGCAGAGCTCGTAGCTTGACGTGGCAGCCATTTTCAGTGTTAAATAGTTAAAACTTGTGTACACGTTGTTATTCATGTGCAAAAAGTCTAAAGTGCAAAGGTGATCTCTTCATTACACTTCAAACACATTTTTTATAAATAAATCTTGTCAGTTTTGTTTTTGCAAATGTAATCCCATCTAATCTATGCTGTGTCTCAGGGATTGATCTATTTTCTCTTTCCTTATTGTTGTTGTCTTCTCAGCTATTTCTCCACAGTGTATTTGGCTACAGAGGCATTGTTTTGTTTCCGTGGCACGCCCGCCTCTATGACCGGGACATCACCCCTCCAGTGTCTGATAGGTAACCCCGCATCTCAGACTTGCTCTTAAAGTTTAGTAGCTTTGTTTGAGACGTTATGGAAATAATATTTTCTCCTGTAGCAAACCCGAGCCACCCGGAGCCCACGGCTCGAAGGAGGTGAAGGGGAAGACTCACACCTACTACCAGGTCCTCATTGACACCAGGGACTGCCCTCACATAGTAAGTAGTAGCCACTTTGTTCAGTCTGAAGCTGCTGCTTAAGTAAAACTTAGTGTTTTGAAGAATATTGAATCCAAACTGGAAATGTCAGATTGTTCTGGGTAAAGACAGCAAACATTGTTTAGTTCATTTCTCTAAGACAATTAATTATAATATTGTCAAGGAAAATTGTTTTTTTTTAGTGAATTTAAATAAATATGCTTTGTTGATCTACATTTAAATAATGATCTAGAGGTACTTCTTTCAGCTCTTAAACCTAAAAGAACAGATCTTGCTTCAGGTTAAAACACTAAGGATTTCCTCCACATGCATTCAGTGCATCATTAAATTCTTAACACATAATGTAAATTAACTTTAACTATACATAAGAACATTAATAATGTTGATGCCTGTCTTACTGCTGTTTAGATGCAGAATCTGATTGATAAATTTACAGCTAGAAGATGTTTGGGCAAATGATGGTCGTCAGTTAAAATAGATATTCTTACGCATTTCAATAGATTCAGTAAGCTGTTTTTTGATTACTAATATGTACTGATCAGTGATTAACTTTAAATTAATAACCATTATTTAAATGCTTTTTCTTATTGTTTTGAAAGCTAAACCACATTAGATGAGTCAGAGCTTCATGTTTGTAGCTGTGACAAGATGGTGTGCGTTAGATTTTATGTAATTGTTGCAGGTCTTTTTCAAAGTGTGTAGTTATGAATTTGTTCTGTGTTTGACAGTCTCAGAGGTCTCAGACTGAGGCAGTGACATTTCTGGCCAACCATGACGACAGCAGAGCGTTGTACGCCATCCCAGGTAACCAGCAATACTGACACTCAAGGATCTTACTTGCACATTTCTAAAAAAAAATGTTTTAAACAGGGTTGAAAAAGGCAGAATTTGTTTTTATATGTATAAACTGTTCAATTATTTCTTCAACAAAACAACTAAATTCTTTTAGCACCTTGTAAATACTGTTCTTTTGACATCATTTCCTGTAATTTGCCAACTTGCACATTTCATTTAATATTTGTATATGTTTTATTTTGGTTTTGACTTGCTGAATATTAATAAAAAAAAAATTGTAATTTAAAAGGCAAACCATTTTAATCCCTGTTTCGCCAATATATTAGGTAAAGATAAACTCTGGTCCTTAGACTGTGGTCCTTGGATTAGGTCTGGTCAACAAAAATAAAGATATCAAAGATCATAAACTGCTTTAAATAATCAATATTTGATATAGGATAATTCAGTCCTTATTTGACCAGAAGTTACAGATTTTGAAACAAAAATGGTCTAAATAAGTTCAGATGAACTTTGCAAAATTAGCATTGTGTTTTTCTTTTTTTTCAGGAAAATATAGATAAGAAGACTGATATTGAAGCGGTTTAAAAGTTATTACTCAAAAGCCCAGAATGTTCTATGATATCTGGACCTGTCGGAATAACAAATTTTGCTAGATGATAAATTATCCCAGAAATTACTGCGATAAATGATAATATTGTTGTTTTCAAGCAACGTGATGACATAATAATGCAAGAAGACATTCTTAAAGATCAACATACTTTAAATTCTAACGAATCAAAAATTTTACGCTGAACCAGAAGACGTTAAATATCCAAAATAAATAAACAAAAACGGGGAAAAAAAAAAAAAGGAATTACGAGTCTCTGTAAACGAAATAGTCCTTAAATGGTCTAGATGAGACCGAAACACCAGACTGAATCATTTTGTCATCCACTTTTTGGAAGGAAGTGGAAAATGATAAATTATGGTGACACAAATTATTGAGCTTGCTTTAAACTACCATGCAATTAAGTGATTTAGTGTTTATTGCAACAAGCCTAATGATATATAGAAATTTGAGTGGAAATTCAGAGGCGTCATAAAAACTCTTATGTCCAGAGTTTTCATGCTAGAGTTGAATAATAAATCAGAGCCCGTATTTTTAGGAAAGTGAAGTTGGGCTGAATCTGATTTGTTTTAATTTACATGCATGTTTAAATGGAGCTAAGAAGTTCAGGCTTCATATCGTTATATGTTGCTGTCATGTGTTTGTTTCTCCTCCAGGTCTGGACTATGTGAGCCATGAAGACATCCTGCCTTACAACTCAGCAGAGCAGGTCCCAATCCAGCACGAACTGTTTGAGCGCTTCCTCATGTACAACCCGACAAAATGTAAACACTCTCTGTGTTCTTCTGCTTTCAGCATCAGACTTCTCTCATGTTCACACTGAATGCTAAATCACTGCGACAGCTTTGAGTTGAATCAGAAAAGAGAAGCAGATGTAAAGATTTTTTCGCTGTAACAGGGATCTTTGGACCTTCCACAGTGGCTCATCATAAATTTGACAAAAGAAAATAAACAACTAACTACTGTACTTAAGTAAAGATGGAATAACAAATACAGGTTTTAGCAGTTTTTCAGATTTTTAAAATAAAATAATTGCAGTGATTTGAATAAGTTGAATGACTCCAAAACAATCAGTAATATTTTTATATGTTTGTTTTTTGTCAGGAGGTTGAAAATTATGTGCTTCTTCAGAATCAGCTTTTAAAATTTTGACTTTGATATTAGAAATCAGGTAAAAATATAGAAACTTCAGTTTCATAAGATTTTCTACAAATATTCTAATAAAATGTGTCCACCCACTTTATTGCATACAATTTTAATCTGTTTTAGTTTTAAGAGCTAAACTTAGAAATGAAATGATGGTTCTTTAAGCATGAGAGCACATTTTCTACAGTAGGTATTTATCAGAAATTATAAGCTGATTTTATTTCAAAAGATTGTGTAACATTTGCAATCATAAGTGAGTTTTATTGAGCTGGACTGAAGGCAAAATGGCTCTTTTTGTAGATTCCTGCTCTAGAAAACTGATGGCCACCTCCATGTTAGTTTTAGTGACTGTGGATTTAGAATCTGTGCATTTAGGTGTTATAAACTAAAATCCTTTTCAATAAATTAACGGTAAGTCTGTGTTATTGTCGTTGTCTTCACACCATAGCTCCCCCATTTACACCCAGAGACACCCTGAAGGCCTGGCAGGAGAAGAACCACCCCTGGTTGGAGCTGTCTGACGTCCACAGGGAGACCACAGAAAACATCAGGGTCACCGTTATCCCCTTCTACATGGGAATGAGGGTGGGTTCATCTTCTTAGAGTTCCTCAGTATGTCAGTCTCACCAAGGTGTTGCGATCGCAATTCTTAAGTCAAACTCATCGTTCACTAATCTTACAATTTTCACCAGTCATTGTGACTTCTCTGCTAATCTGACTGCAGTGTTTTCTGTATTTCCTTCTTTTCTGATCAACTCGACTGAATTTCGACCAAGCTTCATATCCCGTTTGTAATTTAACTTCCTGTTTCACATCTCTTGAAAACCAAAGCTGCAAGATGAAAACATGTAGCATTTACCCTTTCCCCCTTTTTTTGGCAAACTCAGTTTCATTTTGGACCTGATCAAAATTATGAATGTTTTAAAAGAGCCAGTTGTGGCAGAAAGTATTTATACGACCCTTTAAGATGCTCTTAATATATTAATGAAAAGTTGTTTCTGCATTCAGTGAGTAATTAAAGTTAAATAGTGTTTCACATTTTTTCATACAAATGTAGTTATGCAGTGTATAAATGAAAACTGCTTTGTTTAAATTGATGAAATAATATTAAAACACACAACTCTTATCTTCAAGGATCTATTTGTGAAACTTTCTAGAGTCTAGAGACATGTAAAAAGCTATTTTGGGCCAGATTTGGCCCCCAGGCCTTCAGTTTGACACATTCAGTTCATTCTCTTGCATTTTAACTCCTTCTCGGGACTTAAGGCATCTATTTCAATAATGTACCTGAAAATGGTACTTATACTTTAAATATTGGCTTTGTAAACTTTGGCAAAAAATGTGCAACTTTGACCACAACGTTTTGAAAACAGTGCCACAACATCAGTAATTTTATGCCTTAGCAATCACAAAGAAACATGGCGACATCCCAGAGGAGCTCATGTGTTGTTTTCTTTCTACTGAAAATGTAATAATTTGTTTTTCTGGTTCTTAGGAGGCCCAGAACTCCCATGTGTACTGGGTGAGTTACATGCAGTGTTGGAAACGATGACAGCTTCCAGCGAACAGTTTGAACATGTGTTGCCTTCCTGCAGTGGCGCTACTGTATCCGCCTGGAGAATCTGGGTAGTGAGGTGGTTCAGCTGAGAGAGAGGCACTGGAGGATCTTCAGCCTGTCGGGAACCCTTGAGACGGTCCGGGGCCGAGGCGTCGTAGGCAGGGTGAGTATCAGAGCAGCATGCTTTTATTTTGAAGGGGTAGGTTTTTCTGATCGTGAGGTCTCTTTAAAAGCAAAACAATGTCC